TTGACCTCCTAGAATGCTGGGATGGCAAGCATTAGCTTGCACCTAGCTGTCTCAGGATTTTGAGGGTGATTTTCTATTAGAAAATCTATCGGTCAAATAACTCATGGATTATAAGGTGAAAAACCATATATCTTCTCAAGAGATGGAGAAAAAGGACTGGATAACATTCAACAGCTATTTGTGATTAAAAACTCATAGTGCCGGGCTTGGTGGCTCAGCCTGTAATTCCGAGCCTTTGGGAGGCTGAGGTGAGTGGATTGCCTGAGCCCGTGGGTTCGAGACCCGCCTGGGCAACTTGGCGAGACCTCATCTCTACAATAAATCAAAAAAATCAGCCGGGCATGGTAGCGCACGCCTGTAGTTCCAGCTACTTAGAAGGCTGAGGCGGAAGGATCGCCGGAGCCCAGCAGGTTGAGACTGTGGTGACAGGGAGCAGTCACTGCACTCCAGTCTGGGCGACAGAGTGAGACTCCAACTTAAAAATAAAAACAAAAACTCATAGCATGGTCGGGTGTGGTGGCTCAGCCTATAGTCCCAGCACTTTGGAGGCCAAGGCGAGAGGATTATCTGAGCCCGGGTATTCAAGACCAGCCTAGGCAACTGGATGAGACCTCATCTCTACAATAAATCAAAAAATAAGCCGGGCATGGTACTGCATGCCTGTCATTTCAGCTACTTGGAAGGCTGAGGTGGAAGTATCACCTAAGCCTGGCAGGTCGAGGCTGTGGTGGCCATGAGTGTGCCACTGCAGCCTGAGCGAAAGTGAGACCCCAACTCAAAAAAGAAACTCAGCAAACTAGGATTATAGAGAAGCTCTTCTTTAACCTGATGAAAGATATATGCCAGAAAGCTACTGCAAACACCATTCTTGAGAATTTGAAAACTTTTCTTAAAATTGGGATCATAACAATCACAATTTATTTTTAGCATTGTACTGGAGATCTTAGCCAGCAGTAAGACAAGATTAAATAATTTTTACTTCCTAGCACTCAGTAGGAATTTTGTGTTTAAATATGAGAATAAGGCTGGGCTCGGTGGCTCAGCCTGTAATCCCAGCATTTTGGGAGACTGAGGCAAGTGGATTGCCTGAGCCCGCAAGTTCGAGACCCGCCCAGGCAACTTGACGAGACCTCATCTCTACAATAATTCAAAACTTAGCTGGGTGTGGTAGTGCATGCCTGTAGTTTCGGATACTTGGAAGGCTGAGGCGGACGGATCACTGGAGCCCAGCAAGTTGAGGCTGCGGTAGCCGGGAGCGGCCACTGCACTCCAGTCTGGGTGACAGAGTGAGACTCCACCTCAAAATAAATAAATAAAT